CTTGGAGTTAATCCAGTTATTTTTATTTCATTATATAATTCCGGTATTATTTTCCTTGAAGATCTATTCCTGCCATCACGGGAACTGTAGCTTATCGTACTTCTCTGCCATGGCTTCATTATTCATAAAAAGAAATTCTGGGGCGCCTGGGTGGCTCAGTGAGTTTAGCCGCTGACTTTGGCTCGGGTCATGATCTCGGGGTCCTGGGATCGAGTCCCGCGTCGGGCGCTCTGCTCAGCGGGGAGCCTGCTTCCCTTCCTCTCTCTCTGCCTGCCTGTCTACTTGTGATCTCTGTCTGTCAAATAAATAAATAAAAATCTTTAAAAAAAAAAATTCTGTCAGGATTTAGACTTTTTGTATTTTCCTGAAACCAAATCTAAAACTTTGTTTAGAATGGTGTAGTGTCCTGGGGGTGCCTGCGTGGCTTAGTTGGTTGAGCGTCTGACTCTTGATTTTGGCTCACGTCATGATCTCAGGTTGTAAGATCCAGCCCTTGAGTTCTGCTTGAGATTTTCTCTCCCTCTGCCCCTCCCCTGCTTGCAAGCTCTCTCTCTCTCTCTCAAATAAAAAAATAAATCTTAAAAAAAAGAAAAAAACAGTATGTGTTCTCTATATCTTGTGGGTTATTCCAAACTTCCTTATTTCCTTTAAAGGAAAATTATACCCAGATTTAAGGAAAGTATTATGATGGTGTTTGTGTGACCTTACCACATCTTTTCAACAGATGTGCTTGTCATTTACTTTCATTTCTTGGGTTTTACTTTAAAGAGTTTTTGCTTTGGGTTAGGTTGTTTTGATTTTCTTTGTTTTTGTTTTTTTGGGATTCTGGTTACTGGATCCTAGATTGCATTATTTGTATCTTTTTGAGTTAAAGTACTTTATTATTTTTTAAAAATTTTTAAAGATTGGGCGCCTGGGTGGCTCAGTGGATTAAGCCGCTGCCTTCAGCTTGGGTCATGATCTCAGGGTCCTGGGATCGAGTTCCGCATCGGGCTCTCTGCTCGGCAGGGAGCCTGCTTCCCTTCCTCTCTCTCTGCTTGCCTCTCTGCCTACTTGTGATCTCTGTCTGTCAAATAAATAAATAAAATCTTTAAAAAAAATTTTTTTAAAAGATTTTCTTTTCTTTCTTCTTTTTTTTTTTTTTTTAAGATTTTATTTATTTTACAGAGAGAGAGACAGAGAGCGAGCACAGGTTGGGGAGAGGCAGGAGAGGGAGATGCAGGCTTCCCTCTGAGCAGGGAGCCTGATGTGGGACTCAATCCCAGGACCCTGGGATCATGACCTGAGCCAAAGGCAGAAACTTAACCTACTGAGTCACTCAGGCAACTCAAAGATTTTCTTTTTTTATTTATTTTTATATTTTTATTTTATATATTTTTTAAAGATTTTATTTATTTATTTGACAGAGACATAGAGGGTACAAGTAGGCAGAGCAGCAGGCAGAGGGAGAGGGAGAAGCAGGTTCCCCATCGAGCAGGGAGTCCAATGCGGGACTCGATCCCAGGACCCTGGGATCATGACCCGATCCGTAGGCAGAGGCCCAACAACTAAGCCACCCAGGCACCCCAGGACTATTGATCGTTTTGTCTGCCATTTGTTTTGCAGTTATTTATTTCAGGTTCTTACACTCTCTATAGTTTGGTTGATCTTGTTGTTATTTTTTTTCCTCCTACGTAGAGCTTTTTATTTTTATTTAGTCAGTTGGTTTCTCTTTTGTGATTCTTAGGTTTTCTCTCTTATTTAGTAAGGTTTATCCATCTGACAGGTCATATACTATTTTCCTTTTTTTTTTTTTTTTTTAAGATTTTATTTATTGGAGAGAGAGAGCAGAAGCAGAGGGAGGGGAGAAACAGACTCCCTACAGAGCAGCTTGGGCTCCATCCCAGGACTCTGAGATCATGACCTGAGCAGAAGGCAGACACTTAACCGACTGAGCCATGGAAGCACTCCCTGTTTTCCTTTTAATGCTTCTACTTTATACTTTCTCCTTTTTTACTTAGTTTTTTTTTTTAAATACATTTGAGATGTGTTTTAGGTATTCTGTGAGAATTATTTTCCACAGATGTATAACATGCTATTCCAGCACTACCTAACATAAACTATTTTATTTACGATTCTTTTGGTTGTGTATGATGTAAAACCTCAGCAATACCAAAGGTAGGAATGACTCAAGGCAAGGCTTGATACAGTGACAAAAGTAATATTGCTAAAATTATTGCTGTTTTCCTTGTCTTTTTTTTTGCAGTTCACTGCCTTTTTGGGTGTTGTATTTTTCCCTGTAATCCTTACCCAACCCTTTCCTTGTCTGTCCTGTTTGTTGTTTACCCCAATCCCAGATATTTTCCTCATGGTCACATATTGAAAGTTTTAGGCATTACTTCCTCTTACTGCTCAGGGGAGGAGAAAGAGTCTCTTTCTGGGGCTTCTCTGCAGAAAAAGTTTCTTTTCTTAAATGCCCAAGAAAATAGCTCCTTAGATTGTTGCCCCAGATTGAGTTTTATGTCTGGTCCTGAATCTGTCACTGTGGGAGTGGGGAAGAATGGAGTGCACACAGAAATGCTGACTGGCTTTTTCTTTTTTTCTTTTTTAAAGATTTTATTTATTTATTTGACAGAGATCACAAGTAGACGGAGAGTCAGGCAGAGAGAGAGAGAGGGAAGCAGGCTTCTTGCTGAGCAGAGAGCCCGATGCGGGACTCGATCCCAGGACCCCGAGATCATGACCTGAGCCGAAGGCAGCGGCTTAACCCACTGAGCCACCCAGGCGCCCCCTGACTGGCTTTTTCAACCAGGAAATGTGCTGTAACAGTTTGGATTTACACCTGTGATGTGCAGGGTATTAATTCAGTCTCAACCCCCTGTATGAAGGTGGGAAAGGGATAATATTTTATGGGAAATTTTAGGTATTGTCTCCAGAAAAGCGTTTGGGTAGATGCTAGGGACTCACACCACAGGTGACCAGATCGTAACTCTTACAGAAAGGTGCAGAATTGTACAAAGGTACAGAGTTTGCACCTTTTACATTTATTATGGTCTGTTTCTGTATTTTGTTTTGTTCTGGCAACAGTCTAGTGTTCATTTGCCTATTTTTTTTTTTTTAAAGATTTTATTTATTTATTTGATAGAGAGATCACAAGCAGGCAGAGAGGCAGGCAGAGAGAGGAGGAAGCAGGCTCCCTGCTGAGCAGAGAGCCCGATGCGGGGCTCGATCCCAGGACTCCGAGATCATGACCCGAGCCGAAGGCAGCGGCTTAACCCACTGAGCCACCCAGGCGCCCCGAATCTTAATTTGCCTTTTTTTTTTTTTTAAGATTTTATTTCTTTATTTGACAGACAGAGATCACAAGTAGGCAGAGAAGCAGGCAGAGAGAGAGAGAGGAGGAAGCAGGCTCCCCGCTGAGCAGAGAGCGCGATGCGGGGCGCGATGCGGGGCGCGATGCGGGGCTCGATCCCAGGACCTTCACCTGAGGTGAAGGCAGAGGCTTTAACCCACTGAGCCACCCAGGAGCCCCTTCATTTGCCTATTTATCCTGTCCTAGAGACATGTTGCTTCAGTAATAGTAAAGGACATTTTAATATCTTAAGGCTCCCATCATTTTTTCCCCAGAAATTTCTTAAATATTTATTTGATACAAACTTTGGGATTCTGACTAGAATGGCACTTTGTGTATTTTTAAGATGGAAATTCCAAATTATATAAAAATAACTGTGAGAATCAATCTGGAGACACTCAGTACTTCCTTAACAAAAATTTCTTAGAAAAATCTTCCTGTTTGCCCTCTGTCTTTTTTATAGTTTCTGACCCTCAACACTCTCACAAGTACCAGGGGACAATGGACCCATCCATGGTCCTGCTCTCCCCCACAGAGAACTCCTATCTTTAAGTATACCCAAGATACCTAGCAGCATCTCCTCGTAGGCTTATTTGAGATACTGCGTGGTACCAGCAGAGAACTGAGAGGGAGAACAGCTCGAAATGTGCACGTAAGCTGCCTTGTCCCTCAGGGATTAGGAGGGATTTTTTTTTTTTTTAAATTAAGGATGCCACACATCTTCTGTTATTTTGCTATTTGTCATGTTAGATAAGTACAAAAAGATAGGAAATGTAATGTGATAACCGAAAGGAAAATAATATGTTTATGTTCTTTACAGATAATTTATTACAGGCTTAAAATTCTAGAAATATGGTAAATGTGTATTGGAATTAGTAAACATTTAACCACGGTGCTAGATGGATGATAAATATTCCAGAACTTACCACTTACCTTTTTAAGTGAAACCATGATAGGTCTAAGTACAAGAGACCATTGCATTATATGTGTGTGTGTACGTGTGTGTATGCATGGCATTACTCTGTTGTACAGTTGAAACTAATATGTCAGTTACATCAATAAAAAATTTTAAAATATAAGAGACAGTAGAAATGTGTTCATTTCACACCTCAGATTCAGTCTGTTGCAGCAGTGTGCAAGAAAATGTATGTGTGTATGTACATATATTTTAATTTTTTTACCTTTTTAGGGAGATCCAATATTGTTTATTGGAATCTGTAGATGTGTTCTTTCCTCCCTGTGTTTTACTTTTGGACCTGTAAAGTTTGTGTTAAATGAAGGGGAATATTTGTTTTGTTTCTTGTAATTTCAGCTTTACTGAGGTATAATTGACAAAATCATAAGTGAAATACAATATTTACAAAATATATTTGTAAGATTTCTCTGAGGTCCATGTTTTGTTACATGTTAAATACTGGATCAGGATTAAGAGAAAGAATTTTTTTTCCTTTAGATACATGGGGATGAATTTTACATCAGTTTTCTCCATGGCAGCCTCTCTGTAGACGGATAGACTTTTTATAGTTTATAAAATGTGTTTCTGTCAAATGATGTTGATCAGTTAATTTTATCTTAGTCAGTGTAACGTATGTTACTCCGAGACAGAAACTAACCATTGTGTTCCTCTCGTTCTTTCCTTTCTTTTCTTTCTTTTTTTTTTTTTTTGCAGTGGGACTTCCCCTCTTGCATGCCTGAATGCAATGCTGCATACAAACTCCCGAGGTGAAGAAGGCATCTTCTATAAGGTTCCAGGTAGAATGGGAGTATATACTTTAAAGGTAAATATTTCTGTTAGGACATCATTTATAAGGTAAAAACAGGAAGTGACTACATCTAAATGATACTTGCATCATAGAGACAGAACTCTGTTCTTGAAGAGCTTATTTTCAGGAAGAGGTAATATGTGTAACTCTGTATCCTGTGCACTTTTATACTAATCTGTGGGCATCTGTAGGTAGACCAGAGAACTAACTATATTTTTGTTCTTTATGACAATGCTATCTTGAAAGGATGAAGTGAAAATGACTTCTTCCAGTGCCCTTTTAAAAGACCTCATAGCATTTGAGTAGTGAGTGTTACCTTGGAGCAGATAGAGCCTTGATGCTTTCTATTACTTCGTTATTTAATTCTCCATTACCAATCCGAGCTGCAGTTCTTTTTTTGTAATGGAGAACGCCCAAGTTCAGAAGATCGGATTTTCTTACTTTGTGTTTGCGGGACAGTGTAAGAACTGGAACGTGGACCCAGATCTGCCTGAATTCCTGAGCTCCTGTTCTTTTTACCATAACAGTCTTGCTGATTTCTAATTCTGGCGCTGAGAAGACATCTTGACTTATCAGTGTCCCGTCAGTCACAAACAGGAAAACCAACTCAAATGAGCTTGATTAAAACAGAGAGTTTATTAGTTCATGTAACTATAGATTCTAAGAACACTCAGCCCGGATCCAGGAGCTCAAATGATGTCATCGGGGATTGGTCTCTCTGCTTTCTTTTGGCTTTATTCTTGGCAGGTTCTCTCCTATCATACATGACTTCATTGTTAACCCCCACTCTGCAGGCTGTAAGTCTGAAGAGAAAAGAGCCTCAGGAGCTGAAGTGGGACCCCTTGAGTTAGTTCTGATTTGACTTAATTGGTTTGGCTTGGCCCACGTGTCTCTGCCTGAATAATCACTGAGTCTTCTCGTTGGCGATTTGTAGGTTTATGGTCACTCTTGCTGTCAGGTGGAGGGGAAGCCCTCTGCCAGATGAATTCAGGAAAGGGATTGTTTGCCAAAGGAATTATCAGCAGGAGGAGAATTAATACTTGGCATGCACTGACTATTACCCATGTGTACGTGGGACTCTGTCCCCTCTTTTTAGCTTTGAGCTGTAGTCATCACTATGCTCAGTGGTTGTGAATAGCCCACTAACATTAGAAAGTTCTAATTTGCCTATAGTACCTCCTTCTTATACACTTTGTTAAACTTCCTGTGATACAAGGCTCTACTCGTGCAGGAAGCTTTTTGTGTTGCTTTTAAGGTTTAGCTGTTCTAGACCTTCTGTATTGTTAATAACATTAATTAAATGTCTGTTCTGTGCTGAACACTGTAGAGACTGTAAAGAAGAATAAACTGTGGTCCCTTATCTCTTGAGGCTCATATAATTACTGAAGTAATTGCACACTGACAGACGTACTGTGATACAAAGTACTGTATTATAAGGCATCATCATAGTGTAGAGAAACAAAGATGCATTTTGAATAAGAGGCTATAGAAAGCTTTTGTTTTTGTTTTAACTTTTAAGATTTGCATTGAATGTTGGCTGATAAGTAATGGGGAAAAGGACCTTCCAGGATAAGGAACTAGCGGAAGCAGAGGCACACACAGAAGGATTCAGAATGGATTTGAAACCAGAGTAGATAGAAGTGGTTGCCGTCCTCTGTGTATGGGCCAGTGTGGTAAGGGTTTGGGGGCGGGGCAAACAGTAGGTGAAGATCAAATTTTGGAGGCTTTTTGAAAACCCGACTTAGCAGTTTGAGGGTGAGAGAGAGAGGGAGAGCTGAGGAGATGGCAGAGGTTTTTCAGAATAGTATGATCAAATCTGTGTTAGGAAGATAATTCAAATCAGATAGATTTAAGGGTAAAATGGATTGTTTGCAAGAGATAATTGGCCTGAACTATGAGATCAGTAAAAGAGAGTTAAGGGACATTAGAGAAATAATAAAATGGATACTGTGGAGTGGGGAAAAGGAGGGGTGAAATGTTTCTGAGATTTGCGGCACACGCGGTTGACCAGTTGATCCTGGATGGGTTATGAGTCTAAGCTTAAGAAATTATATTTGTACTTAAAATACTTACCGAGCCTACAGGTCAGGAGGTCTGACTGGCAACTAACTCTGTAAGAGCTCTTCCACATTTTGAAGGAAAGGATAACAAAATATGGGGTGTGTGTTTTAAGAAAGTATATAAGAAATGTCTTAGAAATGGCACAAGGATATAAATATAATTGGGAAGGAGCAGTTCCTTTCTAGATCAGAGGTTATTATCTTGGCTATAATGTTGTGAGTCAGTTTTAGGAAGGAGGGTCACACGGTCAGAATTATTTTTTATCTGATTATAAAATGTGGGAAAATAAAAAAATATATTGAGAGGAAAAAAGAACTAGCCATAGTTTCTTAACTTAGAAATTCACTAATATGTTTACCTGTGTATATTTTTATATACTACATGTATACATAGTAGCTTGTATTTATTACATGCCAGGCACTATCCTAAGCATTTTACATTTAACTCGTTTAATTTCAGAATGATCTCTTAAGGTAGGTATTATTATTTCCATGTTTTAGACAGGGAAACTGAGGCATAAGAGGTTAAGATTTTGACCAGACTGCATAAGTAGGAGACGATAAAGCAAGAATTCAACTCCAGAAAAATCTTAATGTTCTACTTCTTGATCTTGCACCTGTCCTATTATATCTCTTATATACTCTGCTGACACAGGTGTCTTTCCGGGTTAGCATTGTCACTATTCAGTGTAGAAACCAAAGATTCCTGTGAGTTTTTAAAAAATTTATTCCTTTTGGGGTGCCCGTTCTGGCTCATTCAGTAGAGCCTGCAATTCTTAATCCCGGGGAGTAAGTGTGAGGCCCACATGAAGAGTTTATTTAAAAATAGAAAAAAAGAATTGGAATTATTCCTTTTGTATTTGACTCTTGCTGCTTACTAACCAATATTTAGAAATCAATGAGATTCAAATAATGTACTGTTTCTTCCTGTCCAGAGTCAACTGAACTCACAATACTTAACAAACACATACAAATACATACACAAACAAGCACATATCCTTGGATAATGAGTATATCTACCTTTCACAAAATTATTATTGTAGTTTTTTTATTCTGAACATCTCATTTACTTGGAATTCCATAGACGTTTGTTCTAATTTAAGCCTCTGTGTTGTGCTTTCATGTGATTGTCATGTATAATTTTTATCTTTGGATGTAGATGGAAACATGAGCTAATTTGACCCACAGAAGGGAGATGACAGGAATTCAGAAAATATTGCTGGTTCTGCTACTGAACCCTATAATACTCAAAATTAATCAGCACAGTTAAGTTACAACAATGCATATCAGAAATTTAATTCCTATTTGCTGAAATGGTAATGATTAATCCTAATTGGATGCCTGCATTTTCAGAAAGACGTGCCCGATGGGGTGAAAGAGCTATCAGAAGGTTCAGAAGAAAGCAGTGATGGTCAGTCAGATTCCCAGAGTTCTGAGAACAGCAGCAGCAGCAGTGATGGTGGCAGCAACAAGGAGGGAAAAAAGAGCAGGTGGAAAAGGAAAGGTAAATCCACCTGATCTCTCAATAAAGTCTTGAATGCTATAGGACACATGCCCTTGTTAGTAGCTCCTCTGTATTCAGACCCCGGGATAGTCCGTCTCTTTCCTTTCCCTTGAGATTGGTACCGTCCAGTAGAACTTCTTGCGATGATGGAAATATCCTGTGTCTGTGATGTCCAACCCAACGCAGCCAGTGGCTCATTATGTCTGTGAGCGCTTGAAATATGGCAGTTTGACTGAGGGACTGAATTTGTTCTTCTTTTTAAATTTTCATTTGAATAGTCACACGTGGCTAGTGGCTGTCAATTGGACAGCACGGCTCTCTAGGTTTTACTTGGATGAATATTCAGCTCTTGGTCATCCATAGCCTTTTTGAAGGATGCTCTTATTTGCCTCTTTAATCCTCTCTTCTAAAATTTGAGCACTTACTGCTCTAACAGCCCTCTGCTTACCAGGGAAAGAACGCTTTTCATTTCTACTAGCAAGGACTAAATTTAGTCTGTTCTTTGCTCTCCCCTGCTTGGTGTCTGCTTCATAGCTTACCCAAAAAAACATTTTTAGGGAGTAATGTCTGTTGCTGCAGCTTCCCTGGGATGGAATTTCCACTTAGGGATACATTTTATTGTCTATTCTTGGTAATTATCTGTAGCTTCTTAGCAGAGTCTTCTTGAAGAGGGCACATTGTTTTTACCTCAATATTTATAAACTTAGCCGTACACGGCAGGGCAGATTTAAGCCAGCTCATGATGGTTCCTTTGCAAGGACTGATATAGTGATATTCTAGAACAAAATGACATCCAAGAATTTCCCTAGCTTGGATATCCCCTTCGGTTTGTGTTACAGGTGAGCAGTCTTTGGATCTAGAACCTGGAGTTAAATTTGTGGGAATACTTGATTCATTAATTTTAAGTGCCTTTGGAACTATCGATTTGGAACTCTATCAGAAAAAAAGTCTGATTCATTTCTATCCCTGCATTTATATGTGTGATACTCCTGGAGAGAACTGAGATAATTGGTGGCATCATTTGTGTTCTCTGGTAAAGCTACCACACATAGAATTCGGGCACGTTTTGTAATAAGAGGATTTTAGCTGTAAGATCACGATCACTTGGAGAGTAACCCAGATCTCAGATGTTAGGAACAAAGAGGATAAAGTCAAGATAAAGCTAGCTCGTATGACCAGTATTGTTGAGATAGAGATATGTTTTAGATCAGTGGTGAAAGGAGGTATGGTCCAGGGCCTTACGTTCCTCAGAGTCCGCTAAGGATCTTTGGGAGGGTGGACCCAAAGTGTTAAGGGCTCTGTCTCTCCTACTTGTACCGAGTTTAAACTTTTTTTTTTTTAAGATTTCTTTTTATTTGTTTTAGAGAGAGTACAAGCAGGATGGCCAGAGGGATTCCCAAGCAGACTCCATGCTGAGTGTGGAGGCAGTCTCACAGGGCTTGATCTCATAACCTTGAGATCACGACCTGAGCCGAACCAAGAGTCAGACACTTAACCAACTACAGCACCCAGGCGCCCCACCTAGTTTAAATTTTGGAAGTTGGTGATCTAAGATTAGGAACCAAGCCAAATCATCAAGCAGGAGAAACAGTAAGATTCATAATTTCTGGATGTGTCCAAAGACAGGAAAATCAATAACTAAGTGGGCCAGACTAGAGATTTTGGGAACAGAATCATGGTCTCAAATGTCATTCCTTTTTACTTTTTTGTTTTTTTTTTAAGATTTTATTTATTTATTTGACAGACAGAAATCACAAGTAGGCAGAGAGGCAGGCAAAGAGAGAGGGGGAAGTAGGCTTCCCACTGAACAGAGAGCCTGATGCGGGGCTCGATCCCAGGACCCTGGGATCATGACCTGAGCTGAAGGCAGAAGCTTTAACCCACTGAGCCACTCAGGCGCCCCGTCCTTTCCACTTTCAGTAGCCACATATGCTGCAGTAGCTGTTCTGAGTAGTGGCTGTAACATATTTGTTACAGGTGATGTCTAAGAAATTAAGGTGTATGTATTGTGATATAGAAAGATCTAAGAAATAACAACAGCGTCCCATTGTCAGTAAGTTAATAGATTTAAATAGCATAACCTTGGACTATATTTGGCATTGTAACAGAAGATATTTAATAGCAAAATGATAGCAAATTCAGAATTGTGGTCCAGATAAAATGTTACTGAACTGCGTTGTTATTCATTCTTCTTCTAGAAATGATCATATTATTGAATATTTATCTTCAGTTTACATTAAGATGAGATGTTCTGTAAAGCTCTTTTCTGATTATAGGTAGTCTGTTAAACTGAGAGTAGAATGGGCTATAGATGGTGTTTGGAAGATGAAGGTAAGAGGTGCACATGTCATAGGAATTCATGTTTACTCTTTGCTGAGCGACCAACAATGAAGAATGATTCCGTTTCTCATAGGATGTGCTTCTCTCGTTCATGGGTCATACCCACGGCATATGGCATGGATGTGTGAATTTTTAGGTACATATTATATAATCTGTGAATGTTCATGGCCTCCAGTGCAGGTTAACGCGCAAAGCTTGTAGTTAGCGGTGTTAGCAGCAGTATGCAACAGAGCAGTTCTAAATCAGTTGCATTTATTAATAAAGGTAGAGCAAAGTAATTGTGCCTATTCCTTTGTCTTATTTAGGGTTTTAACTCTCAATCTGACATCACTTTATTTCAAATGCATTGTAAGACAGGAAGAACATTGAGATAGTATCAAAACCCACTTCCTTTTATGTACAAAAATAAAGAGCTCTGACAGCAAAACTGATACTTCTCGTTGAAAATCGATAGAAACTGGCTTGATAATAGGTATACCTTTCAGCCAAATAGGAACAGAGAACAGAACTTTGAAATTCAGTCCAATATTAAAAGTAGTTTATTGATTTCCATGTAAAGTGGAAGAACTTAGAAGTTCATAGTTTTGGTTCCTAATTGTCAGACAGGAAACAATGTTCAGAGAAGAGCTTTATGGAATTCCAAGCCAAGGTAAGGTGGACTAAATCCAGGAAAAAAAATAAAGATTAAAATCAACTTTTTCTGTTGCTTTTTTGGTAGAATCTTAGCTAAGCAGAGTTTCTGCCTTTTCCCCAAAATAAAATATAAATATTGCTGCATGAAGCAATGATAGAAGTATTATTTTTATCTTCTGGTAGAGAAAGTTTATTCAATTTTGGCCTGCTTTTAAAGTGTCTTAAGATACAAGTTAATTATATAAAATACATCTTTTTACTTATAAGGAATTACTCATTCTTTCCAGGGGCATAATCTAATGTTAATTTAATTGCTTGTTCAAAGCTACTTTAAATTAGGAATTTGATAAATACTGTGTTTGGAGTTATTTCCCATACCAAAGACCTGCCTGCCCTGTAATATCATTTCTATATGTAAGTTTACTGAATGGGGATGATTATGCATAGAAATGTCTCCTTTACTCGGGAGAAAAACTCCTTTGGGCAAAGTTAACTTATGTGGAGAGCGATCTTTGAGATAGATCTTCTTTTTTTATGTCTTGTGGTTGGTGGCTGAGCAAGAGGTTTGAGCTCCGTCATGTATTAAACATGGCTCTATTAGGACTTGGATAGGTAGGATACCCAGAAGCAAGGAAAGGTACCCAGGTATGGCCTCTTCATCTTTGATCAGGGGATTGTTTGAATGTTAATCAGTAGCTGCAGCCTGCTGAGTTTGAGGTAGACTCTACTTGGTGTGGGAAGAAGGTACTTAAAACCGAAACAGTCTGTTAACTTCTGGAAACGAAATTCCTCAAAAGACAGACTATGGTGAAAGTAAAAACTTTCCCTTAGGAGAAGGATTATGGTTTAGGAAGATTAAAACAGTTTTGGATACTTTAGTTGTTAATCAGTCTTTCAGTTATTAATCCTTCAACTATAGAAAAATGAGCTTCAGTTTTGTTATTACGGCTTCATTATTTCTGATAGTATTTCTAATACTTGAGAGGGGCCACTTAGATGTCTTCAGGAAGAAATAAAATAGTGATTATTCACTAAAGTCTTTAATTCAAAGGCATCTAATATGGATAGTCTATATCTTTTTGACCTTGTTCAGTATATTATCCATTGAAATAGAAAATGCTCAGTGCTGTAATATATCTGAAAAGTACTATCTTCTGAATGTATACTCAGTGGGTAGTAGTAATTGTCCAGCAACCTGAAACTGCTTCAGTCAACTATGTAAAACTGGCTTTAAGTGCCTCAGGTTCTAGGGGCGCCTGGGTGGCTCAGTTTGTTAAGCGTCCAGCTCTTGATTTTGGTTCAGGTCCTGATCTTAAGAGTCGTGAGTTCAAGCCTCAAGTTCTAAAATTTGTTTTAAATAATTTAAATAATAATATTTAAATAATAATAATTTTCTGAAAATAAGAAAATAAGCTTAAAAACTCACTTCTCTGCTAGGTTGCTGGGGTGGGAGTTGATTTTCAAGTCAAATAACAACTGTGGGTCCTTTGATCAGAGTTTGTTAATATTTTTATTTTTTTATTTTTTATTTTTTTTAAAGATTTTATTTATTTATTTGAGAGAGAGACAGTGAGAGAGAACATGAGCGAGGAGAAGGTCAGAGGGAGAAGCAGACTCCCCATGGAGCTGGGAGCCCGATGTGGGACTCGATCCCGGGACTCTGGGATCATGACCTGAGCCGAAGGCAGTCGTCCAACCAACTGAGCCACCCAGGCGTCCCTGTTAATATTTTTAAAAGTGGCTAATATTTTATGTCTATGTATTTATATGAAAGCAAGCATTTTTGTTTCTAATCAGATACTAAATTTGTTCCTAAATAAGGTTTTTTTTTTTTTAATTAACATATAATGTATTACTTGCTTCAGGGATACAGGTCTGTGAATTATCAGCCTGCCACAATTCACAGCACTCACCATAGCATATACGCCGCCCCCCACCCAGTGTCCATTACCCAGACACCCCATCCCTCCCACTCGCCTCCTCTCCAGCAACCCTCAGTTTGTTTCCTGAGATTGAGAGTGTCTTAT